TTAGACGGATTATTCTTCATTCTGGAAGCTCCTAAACCAGAGGTCAAGAAGATGTGAGTTGATGGATGATTTATTGTTGAACTATTGAAGATATTCATGTGTGTGTGTGTGTGTGTGTGTGTGTGTGTGTGTGTGTGTGTGTGTGTGTGTGTGTGTGTGTGTGTGTGTGTGTGAAAGGCAGAAGCTTAATCTGTGTGTGTATGTGTTTGTGTGTGAGGATTTAAGGTAAAACATAGAAGCTTGATCTTAAAACTTAGATATTAACATGATTAGCTAACAGGTAACTTAGTATATAGGGAAGATTTTCCTTACATTGAAAGAGATACCAGTAAACTCTGTAATGAAAAAGCTTCATAATTTTTTCAATAGAATATTGACATTGTTGTATCTTTTCAGGTGTGAGGTTGTGATTGGCGAGTTCCTTGTGAGCATCAAGAAAGCACCTGACAGAGTCAAGTTTGGTGACATGATCAATATCCTCATCACTCACGCACAGTCGAATGATCAACTTGTTCAGGTAGGTTAGTGTGTGTTTTGTACAAGTCTTTACATTTTTCAGTGATATATTGGTATCTTACACACTTTTCTTGAGAGTAAGGTTCAGTAGTAAATTTTTGTGTGTTGTTGAAATTGTAAAAGTCATTTGGAAAGCTATAAAAAGTCTTGTAAGGAAATACCACATGTTACTGAATTACAGGAAATTGTTAATGTGAGGAAATACCAAAATTTTGCGGAATTATGGAAAATTGTTGATGAATTTCTCTGTCTCTTTATATAGTTCATTGCCCTCACATGGATCAATGAATTTGTGACTCTCTCTGGACGTGTGATGCTGCCCCATACATCGGGCATTCTCACTGCCACTCTGCCTTGCCTGGCATTGGATGATCCAACCTATGCAAGTACGGCTTTCAGTAGTATCCCTTTTATGAGTTTGGAAGCCAATATTTGTCACTTGTTTCATGAGTAATGTAGTTATTATAGCTAATCTTTCAAGTTATGGTTCCATTTAGGAAACTTTTATTTAAACAGTTTATGAGGCAGGCTAATTTTAGTGAATGAGATGTAAAATCGTACATCTGAAGAAGGAAATTCTGGATTTGTGAGAGATTACTTTCTAGAATTGAAAAAAATGTTGACCAGTCTTCACATGTTATGCTGTTTTAGTTGAATAAGAAAGATTTTTATATATCTTATTAACATCTGACCAGCTGATGCATCATCTACTGCATTATCCAGTCAACCATGTTATTGTTGAACATCCAGGTTCTGAAGTAATGTCAGACAAGTAACTTGAAGGTTCACATTTTCATAAAATCATGTCTCTAGAGTTGTGGTATAAGGCCTCAGGACTATCAGTAAGGTTAATGATGGCTCTAAACTACCCAGATTATGCATTGATTCGGATGTATAACTGGGGTATTATGTTCAAAGTGAACTGATTTATATAACATTCCTAACACATTGCCACATGATTTCAACATTTCTCTTTGTTAGTAGGGAGAAGAATTCTCGAGGTTCACGTATGTTTGAGCTGAGTAAAAGTTGGGCCTGGTCTGGAGTGTGTACAGAGCCGCTGGATGAATGCAGTGGGGAGATGCATCAGACTTCTTATTGGAAGATTCACGAAGATTGTAATATATGTGAAAGCTTAATTTGATTTTGCTTTTCAAGTTTTTTTTGCATGTATGGAAAAGTATGGTATTTTCCCTCTCTCTAGAAACACGTGCCCTGGCAGAAGATGTCAGTTCAAGGTTGATGGAGTTGATTACCATAGAAGATGACAGAGAAGGGCCTGAGGGATCAGCTGACACTTCAAAGGAAGCATCGTCATCTTCCACCTCAGGAGGTATGAAATCTTTTCATTCCTTTAGGGCTTTTTGATTGTTTTATAAGGGTTATTTGGTTATTTTGTAATGTTAACTATTAGTGTGCTGGTAGTTTTATGAAATTACAAGCTTTGTCATTTTTGTGCTTTTTTTTCAGAAGTTAATAACCAGGGTCTAGACCTTGGTTCAGTTATGGAGGTGCTACTCAAACAATTACGAAACACACCCGTTCCTTGTAAAACAGCAGTCCTGCGCTGGATCTATCATCTCCACAATAAGATTCCTAATAAGGTAATAATTGTTTATGCAATAGATATGACCTTTAGAATTCATTATTGGTCTGTGATGTAGTCATACTGGTATGAGTACTACATACATATTTTACTAGAAGGTCTAAGAGACAGGTGATAATAAATATACATGTAGTTACAAACATATCTATGGTAACTATCTAACAGAGATTTGTCTAAACATGGCAGCTGTCAAGTAATGCATTTCATAGACCCAAAAATGAAATTCAAGATCTAGATATAACAGAAAATTTGATTTGATGAACCCCTACCCCATACCTTTGACAGATGTGTCGTTATCTAGAAGAACTGTTCCACGTCCTGCTGCGGACTCTCTCAGACCCGTCAGATGAGGTGGTTCTCTTGGTCATTCAGGTGCTGGCGCAGATTGCATCCACTACTAATCAACCTCATGCGGCTGCCACTCAGGGTAATTTTTTTGTTATAGAGAGGAGAGTGAGTGTGTGAGTGGAGAGAGAGAGTGAGAGTGAGTGAGTGAGTGTGTGAATGAGAAAGTGAGTGTGTGAGTGAGCGAGTGATTGTGTGAGTGAGCGAGTGAGTGTGTGAGTGAGCGAGTGAGTGTGTGTGATATTGTGTGTATGTGAGTGTGTGTGTGAGTGTGTGTGTGTGTGTGTGTGTGTGTGTGTGTGTGTGTGTGTGTGTGTGTGTGTGTGTGTGTGTGTGTGTGTGTGTGTGTGTGTGTGTGTGTGTGAGAGAGAGTATCTGCTTGGCATTTATGGTGCATTATATCTTGATATCCTGTCTTTTTATTCATCTATTGTAGTTGTTACATACCATAGTGTTAAAGAAAATACATGCTTAGTTCTGTTGTATTCTTTTTTCATTAAAGTTATCGAAGGAGAGGAAAGAAATAGTGTGGACGAATACTTCACAAGGTTTCTCCAGAATCTCCTTCACCTCTTCGCAACAGAGCGGAACTTGCTGGAGGACAGAGGACCCTTCATAATCAGGTTACAGTTTATTCAGGTTAAAGTTTTCAGGCTACAATTTATCTTCAGTTTACTCATTATTTACCTGTACTTTTTTATCCAAGGATAATGATGTTGATCTATGAGGTTTGAATTATGTTGCTAGTTTACGAATATGTTCAATAGACCAAGGGAATTTTAATCTAATAGATTCTGTAGATGATTGTCAGGCATGTCTTGGGAGGGGTATGTATTTTGATATATATCAACAAAGAATACTAAAGGTGACTACATTACTATCCATGAAATTGAAATTGAATATTGAAACATGAAACGGCACTTTATACCCAGGAGTGACATTAATAAGAAATACCACGATGTTGTTCAACTTACACTTTTTTTATAGGAGAGTTTCTTTCATTCATGCTGCGATATTGATTCTTCAGGACCAATTTATTAATCAATATTTTATAAAATGTTAATGATTAAGTAAATATCTTCATGAGTTGAAATCCTGTTTTGTCATTAGAATAATGATACGTAGGTAATTACAGTTTTCCTATTAGAATAGATGATTATACTATATTACTCTTTTCCAGACAACTTTGTGTAATGTTGAGTGCTGAGGACATCTATAGAACTTTAGCTGAACTTCTGCAGAAGGAAGAAAATCTAACTTTTGCTTCTGAAATGGTGCAGACTTTGTCGTCAATTCTTTTAACATCTAAGGAACTATTTTCTCTCCGGTTACAGCTGAAGGATCTGTCAACAGCAGTAAGGCATATCTCGCTTCGATTAATTATTATTTGCCGTCTTGAAAAAAAGTGTTAAATTAGGTTATGTATTAGATTTAGACTCCTCAATAAGGTTCTTGTTTAGTACATTTTCTTTGTATAGAATCATGAATGCAGAAAAGAATATCATGAAATGCTGTGCCAACTCTTAGTTTAACTATTGAACTGTTTTGTTCTTCATGAGAAATATATTTTCATGTATTGTTTTGATGAATATTCACTTATTCTAGCTGGTGTAATATCCAATTTTAGAGTAAGATTTGTAAGATTATCTTTCAAATATGTGATGAGAGTAGCCTTGTTGGGGTTATCTTAGGAAAAGAGACTTCTTGCTCTTAGAGAATAGAATGTATACTTATACATATTATTCCACTACCAGTAAATTTAGTTGGGTACTTGATATAAATGTACTTTTATATATACCATTCTAGGTAATTTTTATGTCAGCAGAACTTACAGGATAGCAGTTGTTGTGCTTTTTCATTTATTTATTTACTTATTTTATTTATGACCATCCCATGTTTCCTCAGGAGAATTGTGAACTGTTTGTGAAGCTCTATCGATCATGGAGTCACAATCCAGTGGCAACGCTGACTCTGTGTCTACTCACGCAGAATTATTCACATGCAGCTGCTCTTGTCCACGCCTTGTATCCTTTTCGACATACTGACATGATTATGGTTTATGATTACAAAGTTTGTGTATTAGGATTTTTTTTTTTTTCTTTTATCAAGCTCATTTTGCTATTATGTAATGCAAAGTAGAAATGGTTTGGTGTGAATTATTATCTGGTTGAAATGAAAATGGATATTTATATTTTTTATAGGAAGACTTGAAATTCATTTTAATCTCATTCTTACTAGTAAAACGATATTCTAAATCTTTGCACTTTTGGCCATAACAACTAGAGAAATTCCTTAATTCTTTATTAAAGTGGAGACATTGAAGTCACAACAGATTTCCTTGTGGAGGTTGACAAGTTGGTTCAGCTTGTAGAATCTCCAATATTCACATGTAAGTAGTTTTGAAAATAATGTATTTTTGATTTTTCATCTTTTATAAACCTTTTATACAAAATATATATTTATTTTACTTGGGTTCAGTAAAATTGTTTTAAAAATATGTGTAATACTAGTTATCAGAGGTCACGAGATTTATCATTGAACTGTCCACACACTGCTACTCTTTCCAAACACCTTTTCTCTTCCTCTTCTGTTCTATCACAATCCTACTAGGTCTGTCCCTCCCAGTCTCACTCTTTTTTTCTCATGACTTTTGACTTTCTTTTCCTTCTTTTTGGTTCATATTTTTTGCTCTTTCATTTCTTTTTTTTTTTCTGATATACTATGTCTTTTCATGGTTCCCTCTTATTCTTTTTGTTATTTTCCTCTCTTTGACTTTCATTTTTACCATTAGCCTCCATTTTCTTTCTGTTTCACTTCTTTTACCTCGTTCCACTCGCTAATATCCAGTTTGTTCTTTTCTTTCAGTGCCGTTAGTTTTTATCCCTTCTCTCTTTTTCACATTTTCTCTGCCTGACAGTTCTTGCTAATATAGTTTACTCTCTTCTCTCCCTCTCCTTTAACTTTACTTGTACAACCTTATTTTCTCTCATTCTTTATCTGTGCCTCACTGTGCTCTCTTGTATACATCAGTTTGTTTCTCTTGTAGCACAGTACAGTAACTTCATCTCTGTCCTCGTACAGATCTCCGGCTGCAACTCCTAGACCCAGTTGGGCACTCTGCCTTGGTTGAAACACTGTATGGCCTGCTGATGCTTCTGCCTCAGAGTGATGCCTTCACACTCCTGCGATGTCGCCTCAACTGTGTTCCCCCTTCGCATTTACTGAAGTATGTTCACGAGAACAGAGCAAGGAATCAAATTAGTGACACACTCACTGTTTGTAAATGTTTATTTATAGATACATTGAATTATTGGGTTTTGCTGGAAGTCAATTGTGCAGTTTATTCTAGAGGAAGGCCTTTATCATCATAGCATGGTGAAAGATATTACAGTTCTGTAGGCTTGCGAGATTAATGATATTTTAATTGTTTCTCTGTTTGTAAAAGAGAACATTTGTTGGAGGTAAAGAACTTGCAATAATTACATCATGTGTCTTTTGTGATTTTTTTTATTGTTTACTTAAAATATATACATGCAGTCACTTATGATTTATATGTCAGTCAACAGAGCCTTTGTGGAGAATATAGCCTGTTGGTGGCCTTTTCATTCAATACATCAACTCATCTTTCATATTTTACTGTAATTATTCCTGAGTAAATGAATTAAGTAGACTTAGAACCTATAAGGCATAGTATTTATCCAGTATCTTATTATTTATCTAATTGTATGTATGTATTAATAAATGCATTTGATAATGCTTTACCAACAGGCACACGCATGGGAAAAGCGAGAATCGGAAGTTGGCAAGCAACATTGATTTTGAGGAGCTGCTAACACACTTTTGCACAATGCAAGACAAACACCGCAAATATAAACACCAGAAAATCAAGCAAAGGTTGCAGTCAAGTATAGAGCCCTCTTCAAGACACCAGAATTAGCAAGTGTGTATACTGTGTTCATATGAGGCTGAAAGGTAAAGAAAAAGCAAATGAGAATAATGAAAGTATTACAGCATGGCATTATTGGGGTACACAAGAGTGTGAATAAGTGAGAGGAGAAATACAGACACAAAGATAGGTTGATCAATACACACACTACACTGATGGACAGATGCATAAAGACTGATATACACAGAGACTGAGTGAAATGAAATGAAAAAGATATGAAAAGCAAACAAGAAAAATAGAGGGCAGGAGAATGATTGAAAATGTGAGTCTGTAGATGAGGGTGTGCAAGAGAGAGCAAAGCTACAAGATAAGAAAGAGACAGATAAATAGACAGTCAGAGAGGGGAGATATTAAGAATACAGTATGATTGTAGATAAGGTTATTATTCAATGGAATGCACACTGTTGTCAGTTATTCAGTAGTTCAAGCTTTGAACAGATGAACAGGGTTTTTTTTATATAGTTTATTGCAGGAATAGTTGTCTTGCCGCTGATGATAATGATGAATTGCATATTTTGTTTTATGTTGCACTTTGCCATATACTAGAAATCGGTTTAATCAAGAACAGAGCACTTATACAATCTGCGGTTCTCATCTGTGTGTGAGAATATGTAGCCTTTACACAGATATTTAAATAGCTGAATATATAGATTGACTCTCTCATTTTATATTCGTATTTTGCTTATACAGTATATATGTATATGCAGTTTCATTATATTCAGATACAAATGTATATCAATTGCATACATAAAGATTTTGAAGGGTCTACATATATCCTGACAGACAGAACTTTGACGGGTTTGTTATTAGATAATAAGTTTCCTTGATTTTCTTCATGTGTGTGACTTTATGTACTGTATGTGTTTGTAAATAAATTATATATATATATATATATATATATATATATATATATATATATATATATATATATATATATATATATATATATATATATATATATATAAATTTTTATATATACATAATAATGGCAAATCAATGTGACAATAAATTGCCAAGAGCTTCAGGCTTGTTTAGCACGAATTTTTCTTACCAAAAAATTGTATTAGCTAGATTTATACTTCTTATGCCAGTATGTGAGTCTTTTACTGCAGAGTTTGTTTGAGACATTCCTTTACACCTATAGTTTTTGTGACCAAGTAAAAATTTTATTCCTTTATCTGCCTTGTGCCTGATCATCCTTCCATTTATCCTTAATCCTTTTTTTTTTTTTTTTTTTTTTTTTTTTTTGCCTTGGTCCTTTTCTCTTTCTTTGTAGCAAGTGTAAAACATTTGTAAAAATATACATTTAGTATAAATAATTTTTCCTGTGATGAAAATCCCATTTGCAGAAGTTGTAAAGTAGTTTGTCATACGTGAAAGCACACATGAGGATTTAACTTTTAAGGCCTGTGAGGAATAGTTTTACTGTTTATATGAACCGACCTTAAAGAGCACATTCTGTTAAATTCACGGTTTACATAGTCAAGTAGGAGAATGCCCAATTGCTTGATTGGTTAGTTGATTGATGAGAAATCCCAAGATGTTTATTTTTAAATGTATGACTATATTTCTAAAATGTAAAAAAAAAAAAGTTACTGTTGTGTATTCGTGTTCAGAAATTATTGAACAAGAAAATTTATCTTGATAGACACTTGAAATTATGTTGAAATTATAATTAAATTATTTTGATAATTGATGAAGTGGTTTATGTACATAATGAGCTCTTGAAGGTTTAATTTAGTCACTTTTTAGTATCGTTATGATTGGTGAAGTGATTTTTTTTCCTTGCTCCCAATTAAAATAAAAAAGACACTTTAAACACTCCAAGGAAAATAAAGCATTCTTGTATTTCAATCTACTATTTATTCACCCGAGTATTTATGTGCTAACAAAAAGACTGGATATAAAAATATGTGGTTAAGAGAAAGACTGTGCACATCTCATCAAAATTCCCTGCCTACATCCAGTACTGCCTATCAGCCATTCTCTAACTAGATATTATAAATATTCTCAATTCCAGATGTAATCCAGGTAATTTTTTTCTTTTTTTTCCCCATTTTCCTTTTTTTTTCCCAAGGGGGCCTGATTGACACTCCCCTGGGCCAAAATACAAGCCAATAAACACTTGTACTATAGTACTAGGCAGGCAAATGCTGCAATAAGAGGATGACCCAAGCTAATGAGATTTAGTTCCACAAGCGTATATGTTGCCATTGCAGCTACTTTTACCATGATTGCTCTTGAGGCTTACATTAAAAACCATGAAACATGCACCACAACCTCACTGGCAATGGAGAACAGATTATACTGTGGAGTCGATATTGCTGTCTGCCTCCAGAAAAAATGAAACACACAAAAAACAAATTCACATAGGAGTACTGAAGACCCTTCCACATCCATAACAAATAGAAGCATGCTACTTAGTTGCCTAAATCATATTATCAGAGCTACAAAACAGTTTTCAACAGAGAAAGTTTCCTAAAAAAAAGACAAAAAAAAAAATATTCTTGAATTACAATTTTTTTTTCTTTTCTTTTTAAATGACATGATCACAAATTGACAAAACAATGCCTTGACAATAATACAACTAACTTCACAGAAAAAAATATAGATAAAAAGATACATGGACAGTGTTAAAGCCAGAGTTTTTTACCAATTAGAAACTTCAAATAATAATCAAATAGAAAAAAAATCATCATTATCATCATAATCATAATAGCAATAACAACAATAATGATTACAAACCAAACACCTTGTTGCAAATAATAAAAATAAAAATATGCTAAAAGCTTCAAGATTTGTAAAATACACACAAGGAGGTTTATACTTCAAGCCAAAAAAGGATACACAATAACAAATTCTTTGGTAGAATGTGGAATATACGAGCTACACAAGAAGAGGTAATGTATAACTAAAAGCCATGTAGCAAATGTCTACAAGAAGCATCTACATGTAAATATCTATCTTTAAAAAATGCTGCTCCCATTTTTTTTGTCTTTTCTTTTCTTTTTTTTTACATTTTTTCTTGTTCTTTATATAATATTTTGTTTTTTGTCTACTGGACTTGCAAACTACATCACAAAATATAAACCAAATCAATAACTGAGAGTTCACAACAGTGTTCTGCTAGCAAATCAAAATGGCAATTTATCAAAAGCACATTATAATCAAATTGGTTTCATGAGTTTACTAATTATTAATAGTTAAGCCTTTTTAAAAACCTTCCAGGAACCTATTGCTCCAATATTACATTTTTCCCTTTCAAGATACCTGTGTTCACAAAGCAACTACATGTGCTCCGCTGATTTTTTTTCTCGAGTGATAGTTCCAGTTGACCAAACCCTACCTTTCAGTTCAACAACTTTATTTACCTTTGCATATTTTGGTTCCAAAATGCAAAGTAAACCACAAGTAAAAAAAAAAAAAATGTCTTAAATGCTAGTTATTCTGGTGAGATGCATAAATATTTAAATAATAAGCATTACCTTCTAAAAGCTGCCTAAAAAGGTATTCAAACAATGATTATTCTACATCTTTTATAAGACAATATATATATATTCCTGCATACGTAACATAGATGATTGCTTGCACTTACATACAGCATTGAACAATAGGGCTTCTCTTGTGTTTGTTATTCCCAGAGAACAATCTCTACTGAAGTGCCTTTCTGCCAGAGACTTTATCTCTCACTTCTTCCTATGTTTTCCCAATATACAACAATGCACCATATTTAAAGCTTGCAAATTTTAGCATTTTCATTAACGAAAAAAAAGACAAATGTCCTTGACACTAATCCATATTTGCCTGCATTAATTTCCAAAGATTCTCTGATAACATGTACAATTATTTCAACTTCACTTGGGAATCAATATGTAAATTTGCAGACAATTTTCAAATAGGTTTACTTGCTAAATTTGTGAACAAGAATATTTTTGAAACCTGCACTTTATAACCCTAATATCATCTAATTCATCTATACCTATATAAAAGCGCAAGTCAAAACTGTTGGATATTTTTTTACAATATATAACTCACAAAACAAAATTTAAAAACGAGAGAAAACAGACCATACATAATCCTTTGTAGAAATGTATGATCGTAAACCCAAAAATATTTTTTTTCCTTTTCTCTTTAAGCTAAAGCGCAAACATAAAATTGCAACGCAATCTGAAGACTAGAGGCATCATCATTTGATTAACAACGAACATGACAAGAGAATCTGACTAAACACAGCATTAATAAACCAAATTTCCTTAATACACAAAAAATGCCATGCTCGTAAATGCCTTATATTTACCATGTTTGTATCTGGCCCATTTCAATAGTTATTACTCACCATTCTCCTTACAAGAGAATAAAAATGATAAAAAATAAAGTTGATACAGCATTGAAATCAACATTACAAAGCAATAAAAATGCTGCTACTACACAAAACATGCAACCAAGTGGATTCATAGATTTAAAATGATACATACCAAAGAGAATATATAAAATACAACACAAAACATAAAATGCTCGGAACAAAAACAAGAAATGCAAGAAATCATATAAAATGCAAATCATTTTCTTATCATGACATACAACAAGAAGTTCAAAACAGGTTAAAGCTTTTTCTTTTGCCAGGTTTCTTGATGCAAAAACAATAGACACTTCAGTAATATCACCAACTTTCACTGGCATTTCACATTCAGGTTTTTGTTTAAATTTTCCACCCTGATATCCCACAGGCATGCAATTGGCAAGTGATGCCCCTTTAATAAAATTATCACATTGGATGATGGTTCTGAACAAATGCACAAGTTCATTCAATTGTCTTACAAGATAGCCTCAGCTCTGTACTAAATACGGGACTATATGACAGATTTCTATTGGCCTAATCATAATCAGATCTTGATAAATACTGATTAATAATCCTATTCAGGAGATATCATTTTGCTTTTTTTTTTTTTTTCCCAATGAAGCCAATATATTCACTGTTATTACACAATCAACTTTTCTACTCACCTTGAATCCTTAAAAAATATCTTCTCTTCAAAAATTGCACTTTTTCCCAGTTTAATTACTTTCAATACTTACACTTTATGAGCACAACAGGTATGTTTTTCTTATAAACACTTCCATTTTACATGATTTTCTCATTCTTCTCTTTTCTCAGCATAAGGTAAGTGATAGTGAGCTGGGTTAGAACCACAAATTATCCGAGGTACACAAGCCTACAAGCAACATCTTCAAGTGCAGACATTATTGAGGAATGCCTTTTTATCCTTTTTTGTCAATCACTTGAGGTCTATGGTTTCCTCTTCCCATAGTGTTACTCTTATACACATATACCTAAGATATATGCATTATTTAGAGAACAATTCTCTAATATCAGTATTGTTACTTGAATGGCCTTAACACACGTTTACAGCACCATAAAATCCATTAAAATAGGATCTGGAAACAAGAGACAACCTAACCTCATGGATGTTCCATATCCATACCAATTCACCTCATGAATCCATCACAAGTTAGTATATTGCTCTTTCTATTTTCCTGACTTTCCTCTGGTGCATTAGATGGTAATTTAGCACAAAAGCTTGAGCATGAAGAATTATGTCAAGTGCCTTCAAGCAAATAGTATGCTGAATGAAGGAGCAATCATCAGAAAAGGGCATAACAGACATTGTTTCATTAGTAAGTGCTCTTGTTCTGACCTATGATGATGTGATGTCATCAACTGCTTTCCACTGGGTAAAATCCTTCTTCCTTTATATTCACAAAATGGAAAAAAAAAATCACTCCCTTTACAGAATTCCAGTTTTAGAAAAAAATAAAATATTTACATATCAAATTCACTTTTAAAGAATGCTTACTACCAGCTTTGATTTCTTAATTTAAATAAAACTCCCTCTGAACATTAGCTTCCTCAATTTTCTAAAACCTAGACAACCTTCTTTCAAAGCTTATCAACATACACATTCGTCTGTACCAAGTGTTAGTTTCATAGGAAAACCTTTTTTCATACACTTCTTAGTACATGCAGTCGTTTCTTTTACAGTTTGCACTCAGTCTGAAGTATGTAAATGATTATTCTTTGCAAAATGGATATCTCAAATGAAAAAAAATTACTTAGACTCAGCACAAGAAGCAGATGAACTATGTGCAACTTGTGAGCAAAAGGGAAAATGCTGCACAATTTCCATCTTTCCCTTTTTTAAATGACTAGCACAACACCAAAGATTTTCTTTGACTTCTTAACACAATGGATTACCAACCTCCAGCAGAATATTAGTCAGTCTTTAAGTTAAACTTCATATTTATTAATTTATCCCATCTACTAAATTTCATTAATTGGAATTAGTCAGATCTTATTGAAATGGCAGCTGAAAAATATATACAACTAAATTAAGACACACCACTTTCTGTATCTATTCCCTTGACAGATCACCTCAACCAACACTGACAGTTGCTAAGGCTTCCATTATCCATCAACACTAATAGCACGAGCAAATTTTTCATTCTTTCCATTAAATACTTATAAGCTACACACTATCGTTCCATAACTACACCAAAGATCCTAAACATAAATTAAAGGGAGTATTTTCATCCATCACAAATGAATTTCAAGTGCTCTCTACTGCCCTTGGAGTCTGCAGTTTTCTACACCAGAAACAATTCACATTTTTCTAGCCGCAATTTATACAAATTATATTACTTCACTTGATATCATCACACAATCTTTCTAGATCTGTCATTTGTTGTATAGATAAGTCGCACATTATATGAATGTTCCTAAATATAGTCTTCTCCACTTACAAAAGTCAGCCAATATCATGGCACAGACTCAGATCTACAATTCAAAAACATCTAGTCTCTTGAAGTTCCCAGCCAAACAACTTGGATTACTCTTATAAAAAAATGATACATCAGTGGTTTGATTGTCATTAAAAAATGTAAAATTTGAGTAATTTGTTCTCTCTTTTTTCATTATGAAAAGATGTACAAGACTTTACAACAATATTAATAATGAAATGTTATTCATTTCTATTCTTTTGTAAACTGACATTTTCTGTAATAGCCTTATTACATTTTAGTAGTTCTTCGACTCCAAATGTGAAGCATCTATGATATGTGTACCACTCCATATTTCTGAACATTATAGCTTCACAATAATCACTATTTCGGAAAAATTCAAATAAAACTGAATTTAAAAAATCAACTAATGCAAATCCACAGCATCCTCGATGGACAGGACTCTAGAAAACAACACAAAATGAATTCAAATTTGCATGTAGTTAATATCAAAGCTAGCTTAATGTTTGTATCTTACCACAGTCTTTCAAGCATTGGTTTGGCTTTATAACAATCAGCTTTGAATATCATGCCACTTTTGTAAGATTGGGTCCTGAAAGAGCTACAGAAGGGCTAGTAGAAACGAGGGAAACCGAAACAACAAGATCTGGAAGTAGATCTTTTTGTAGTTCAGAATACACTTAACACGTACTGGAATTTTGTACAAGTTTCACGTACACTTTTCTCCAAAATATATCTGGAATAAAATTCTATACTTAAATCAAATGGCAGTCATAATCCTTACATCTGCCTACGTATGTGGATGGATATTACCAGCACTAATTACTCAAAAAATATCACCTAAATTTGAATTATTCTAAAATGGCATAATGAGCCCTTGTACCTAACAGAATCTACGGTACATAGCTATTTAGCATCATTAAAGCTAATCTTTATTTCAAAAAGTTTCTAGACCAATATATGCTACCCTCTGGAGTTCAGAACAAGAAGCTCAACCCGCAAATATCAGGTATATTTGGGTACATTTTATAGACAAATGTGTTGGTCACAAAATACTTTCAGATCTTTCAAAACATTGTCCTACTCACTCTTCACATGAGAAAATGTTTCTACAAAATGACCGAGCACTAAATATCTGGAAAAATTTTGTGAAGGCACCAAAAATCTAGCTCAGTCTGTGCTATGCTTTGTCATAAGGACCATGCAGTTAATTCCACTTGAAAATCCTATGCTTTTCAAGCACTGCACTGAACCCCTTACACTTGAAAAACTTGGATTCAAAGGCGCAACAAGATCTCCTGAATCTTAAATCTGAAAATGAGATCACACTCTTCAAGAATGAGGTTTCTTTCAATTGTTATGGTTTGTTGAGAAAGTCACAAATGCCTTGACTGCCCAACAACCTCACTTACAATGGCCTACTATAAACTTTGCTAGTCATAATCCCATGCCTTAGAGCTGAGGTCGATCTGCAAATAACAACTGTGGTTCAGATCTCCCTCCAACTGCTGGTCACAGCAACTCTCTCCTGCGATAAAAAAAACAGAAGGCTAACATTGTCCCCATCTTAAAAGAGCCTCTCATGGTAGGCTCTGATGATGCTGGGTGTTCGCTGATCAAATCCAAGCACAAGAAGGAAGTTCTCTGTTCGCTGGGTATGCAGGTGCTTTGTCCCTAGTCCACACAACACCAATCTGTAACAAGATATGACAAAACAGTTAACCACATTTAAACTACCTAACCATAATACTAGAGAGAAAAAATCAATATCAGTACAGTTCATAAGACTTTT